CCCCCTGGGGGCGGCCGATGGACCCCTTACCGTCCCCAAGTTTCCAGTACCCCGAGCCAGGGCCATGTTGGAAGGCCCAACCTGTGCTTCGATCGCGGCGATCTCTACGAATACATGACGGCTCCGACAAGAACCGCCGGCGCGGCCCCTGACTGTCTGGATTCAGGAACTGTTCCCGCCCGGCAGCACACGCCCGGTGCCCGGATCGCGGCACGCGCCAGTGTCGTTTCAACGACTGCCCGGCGCCGTCGCGCTCTATCCTCAAGGGGTGGTGGCGCGTCGCGTTCGACGAGCACCCGGAGGCGACGGGCAGCGAGCTCGATCCGTTCCACTGCGCGGGGTTCATGCATCTCTTCTGCTTCGAAAAATGCTTTGACCTCGTGGAGATGATGAACGCCTTCGATGTACGCCCGGACACGCGCCAGTTTGAGCGGGAGCAGAAGAACTTCATGGCGCTGACGCGCGACCACGTCGAGATACTCGCCGACCTCGGCCGCTGGCGTGTGGAGCAGGAACACAAGTGGCAGAAGTGGCAAGATAAGCTGGCCGCCAGCGGAGAGAGCGGGCTGTCGAGGCCGGTGCATCCCCAGGACCACCTGTGGTACGTCCTGACTATGGCACACGTGGGCAGGGAGTCTGCAGCGCGGCAATCCGTACGCGACCAACGCGGGGGGTCATCGATAGACAAGCACAGGGGTGACCTCGACATATACATGAGTATGAAGCACGCAGAGAAGAAGACCAAGGCCACCGCAGTGCGGGGAGGCTAAGGCGGCACTTGCGGAAAAGATGATGCGGGAGCGTACACACACATCATCCAAGCGCAAGCGCGCTGTCGATGACGATGGTGATGACGACGAGGACGCCAGCAATGCGGACGATGCCGACGCTGATAGTGATGAAAGCTACGACAGAAAGCCTACCGGTACCCAAAATGTCAAGGCGGCACTTGCGAAAAAGATGCTTCGTGAGCGCACGCGCACATCATCCAAGCGCAAGCGCGACGACGATGACGATGAAGGAGGCATCGATGCTGACGACGCTGACGCCGATGTCAACCCAGACTACGACGGAAAGGTCACCAGCATCCAGAAGGCCAAGCCTCGTGCGGTCAAGCGTCCGGTCAAAGCGCATCCGAATATCGGATGCACAGTACGGTGCTGCCAGCCCCAGTCAGGCATCGCCAGGCACCCGTCGAAGCCCGCGGGTGCGATCAGGTAGCTACACCCAGTTCTACTGACGAGGGCGGCCTGAGTAGACGGCTTCCCATTGTCTGGCCTGTACCTAGCTGCGACGCTAGGGGGCATCCAAGTGGATGATCCTGGGTTCTCTCTTTTGTTGATAGCTGGTTCCCTTTATCCCTTGGGAACAAGAGGAATATGCTGCTTCTTTTTGCATTTCTAAAGAAGGTGGTGGGTGTTGAACCGGCGTTTTATTGGCTGTGAGCAAGTTTCTCCCACGCATTGCATTGGACTGGATCAAGGTTACACGGAACGGCATTTGACAGAGATACATGCATGCATAGCACAGCACAGCGTTGCTCTTTCCTATGTCGCTACATCGAAATCAAAATAAAAGAAGGCGGTCGATAAGACAGAACGGGAAGGCGTTAAAAGGAGGCTCGCCAGCTGGCTGGCTAGAGCATACAAGTCAGTCGACAATAAAAGTTTCTTTTGTCTGTGACTTGTCTGTGACGACAAGGGGCGAGCAGTGACCAAGGGGGAAACAGTGACCTAGTGAGGACCTACTTGAAAGGCAGAAATTGTAAATGTGACGTGAGTGGAGTTGAACAAAAAGGTGAAAGGACTCGTGGCGTGCCTCGATATAGAGGGCTGGCATATTAGTAGCATTGTAAGCGTGAGAGTGGGGAGAAGGAACTCGAGGACGCAGCTTTTTGAGGACTCTCTGCATGTGTCGTGACACAGGGACAGATCTCGGACATGGCGAGCGAATCAGGCGGTCCAACGTGGGCCTTGCGGTTCGAAGCTGGGTCGCGATTGTCATCGCAACACGACGGCTGGGCAACAGGTGCAGCTTGTCGTAGCTCTCGCAAGCGTTGCTATCCATCGGCTATCCATCGGGGTGCAGGCAGAGGCGGAGCTCCGTCACGGGGTCCCTTGTCTTTGGTGTTGTCGAGCCCAGGCACGTGCAGCGGCGATGCCGAAGCACGTCGAGAAGGCTGCAGTTTGCGCTAGACGAGAGGGGACAAGTGGCAGCGGTCTCTCCAGGGTCTTTGGGGGGAAATAAGGCCAGAGCTGTCCGAATGAGGGAGTGGGTATCGAGGGGAGATGGGTGTGTTGTGATGGGACTTTCGAATGGCAGCCTGGAGAGAGGTTGTAATGGGTGGTGGGATATCCATATAAAGACAAAGACGCGCCACCATTTTTTTTTGTAGATTTTTTGGACTTGATGCACTCCCTCTGGACGCTCATTTGAAACGAGAAACACAAGAAACGAGAAAACGCCCGGCTTTGCCCAGCCCGAAACTACTGATTGGAAGGAAAGATAGTCAGTGGCCTGGTCGTTTCGTCTCGCATCTTCCGCCTCACGTCACATTCGGATCGGAAAGGTTGTCTGGCTGGTAGGTGGAGCAGAGCGTTGAGCAGCCGTCGGGAGTCTCGTTAGCTTGTCC